TCGGCTTGTCAAGCCATAGGCAAGATGCCAACCTAATAAGCACTATTACTCACTTCTCCCTCTGTCCACATTTTGGAAAGATTCTGTGCCTAAAATATAGGGGCCGGTGGAACAGAGATGGAGAGGTGATAGGAACCCAGCAGATCCTGTCAACAACAGGTTGTGTCTCTCTGATTGCCTCCTCCATCATAGCATCTGGACACCAAGGTTAATGACAAATCCTAATTACTTCTCTGGGGCCCATCTGTTTAGGGACAGTGACCTCGAATAGAAGCCACCGCTGCCTGTCCCTTCACAGGCAGGATCTGAGAGCCAATGCCTTTGAGAAGCTCCGAGCAGAAAGAAATATGATAAGGATGCAGAGGGTGCTACGATTGGGGGGGGGGTGTTAATTTTAATTTAAATATATATATATTTAATTGATTTTTATAGAGAGGAAGAGAGAGGGCTAGAAATTTAGAAACATCAATGAGAGAGAAACATTGATCAGCGGCCTCTTGCACACCCTCTACTGGAGATGTGCCCGCAACCAAGGTACATACCCTTGACTGGAATTGAACTTGGGACCTTTCAGTCCGCAGGTTGATGCTCTAAGCCGAACCAGTTTTGACAATTAAACCAAAAATGCAGGCACAAAATTTCCCAAGCAAATGTTTAATTCCAGCCTTAATACACGGTCAAGGTCCTGGGGATGCCTCATGGGCGTGTGTCCAACTCACAAAGCCCCTTTGCACACTCAGGAGAAGTACTCAGTGTCCATGCAGCCTGGCACCTCTAGTCTCAGCTGATTGGATGAGGGGCGGGCACTCAGAGGGAGCTGAGCCAATCAGAGTCCCTTCCCTGGGAATTTGGAATTAGGACTGAGAAGAGCTATAACCACTGGGGAAGTATAGCATGGCTATATTTTCTACCATGCGAGATGAGAAGCAGACCTTTCATGAAGCTAGGCTGTGTTCCTGTCCTCGGATCCCTAGAAATAGCTCTGCATCCTTATATTAAATTCCCCTTGCTGTATAATGTGGTAGTCTCCCAAGATGGCCACCACTAATGCCTTCCTATGGATGCATAAGTCACTCTTCCACAAGCAGATGGGACCCATTTCCCTTCTCCAATAGAATATGGTTGACTAATACCCTACTAGTTTCAGACCCAGCTGTTAAGAACCCTGGATCTTGTGGGATTCACCTCCCACATAAAGGAGCTCAGGCCAGACAGCTGAGTAAGGAAAAAAAAAAAAAAAGGATCACATAGAGCACACATATGTACGAACATGTCCTTGGACCTTCCAGCCCAGCCCAGCCGCCAGCAAAATGCAGCTGGGTCAGCAATCCCAGCCCATGTCATGTGGAGCAGAAAACCTGCCCAGCAGAGCCCTGCCTGAATTGTCAAAAATAACATACTGTCATTGCTTTAAGTCACCAAAATTAGGGTGCTTTGTTAATATAGCCATAGATAACTGGAACCACCTTGCTGGAATTAAGTTCCTTTCTGGCAAGCAAGCCAACTGTCCTAACGCATATGGAAAGCCTGTAGTAGGCAGGGCATGCAAAATAAACTCTGTCGTCCCACTTAGCCCTTGAATAAGGGGTGTGGGGGCATGATGAGGTGGTTATGAGTTTCCCCTCTCCTGTCCATCATCTCCTCTTCCGGGGGACCTGAGGAGAGCAGAGCTGGGTTGTGGGCTGAGTGGTGATCAAAGGTTTAGACACCCCATTGGGCCGAAGCAAAGAGGCTTCTGGGACAGAACCAGCTCTGATCTTCCGGGGTGCGTTACTCTAGCAAAGCTGCCCCAAGAAGACAGCACCTCCTTGGAGGCCTGAGGGTGAGGCTCCCTGGAACTCTCAGAGCCACAGGAGCATGGTGACCAGCTCTGGATGTACAAACAGGTTAGTCAGACCCGGAAGGAATAGGGACGGCATAGGAGGAGCTCCAACTCCTGGCTCCCAACATGCCCCCTCCAAACCCGAGCCTTTCAAATGTCCATCTTCTGCAGTCCGGGAAGTTTGGGTCAGACCTTCAGGAAAGATACCTAATAGCTAAGACCATACTTCTGAGAGCCAGCCAGCAGGACGTACAATACATCTTCACTTGACGTGACCTTAGGCAAGGGACCTGACCTCACTAGCAAAATGGGGATGATAATAATAGCATCTACTACTCAGGGTGGAGAAAAGCAGCTCAAAGGTTAATTCATGTGATGTTTTGTTATTATTGTTGCTGTTTTAAATATATACTATATACTTTTATTGAGAGGAAGGGAGAGGAAGATAGAAACATCAGTGATGAGAGAGAATCACTGGTTGGCTGCCTCCTGCACGCCCCACCAACTAGGGATGGAGCCCGCAACCTGGGCATGTGCCCTGACTGGGAATGGAATCGTAACCTCCTAGTTTCGTGGTCGGCAAACTGCAGCTCTTGAGCCACATGCAGCTCTTTGGCCCCTTGAGTGTGGCTCTTCCACAAAAGACCACGGCCTGGGCGAGTCTATTTTGAAGAAGTGGCATTAGAAGAAGTTTAAGTTGAAAACATTTGGCTCTCAAAAGAAATTTCAGTCGTTGTATGGTTGATATTTGGCTCTGTTGACTAATGAGTTTGCCAACCACTGGCCTACTTCACAGGTCAACACTCAACCACAAGGCCACACTGGCCGGGCCACATGGCATTTGTAGGCTCAGGGTTTGGCATAGAGTGGGTGCTCGATAAAGGGTACCCGGCAGGATGACTATTCGTGATGTGCATCAACAATGACTTCACACCTCTCTAGAGGGCTTTCCCTCGGGTGAGGGGAAGAGGACTCAGCATCACAGAGACGGGTGCCTGGACCCAGGACGAGGCACAGAAACGGCTGCTGTTTTAAGAGTCCGAAGGAGGTCAGTGGCTCTGGAGGAGCAGGTAGCCCCGTGGTCCAGAGGACTCCAGCCAACACCCCAACGTGTAGTCTGATTAGGAGGATCCCGAGAATCAGGCTGGCCACCTCCCTGAGGGTGGAGAAGCCGAGGCTCCCCAAGCCTATTCACCGGGAACCTCAGGTCCTGAAGCGGGGGGGGGGGGGGGGGGGGGGGGGGGGGGGGGGGCAAGGGTGCCAGGTTTCAGCCTCGCTCCACATCTGACCTGTCGCTTTGCTTTTATCTGGCTCCTCTCTGATCCTCTCCCAGGGAAGTGTGGGAAGAACTGGAATGAGGGCAGGTTGGAGCTCTTGAGACACAAATAGCACTGGGGGTGCCTCTGGCCATGCTGCCAACCAGGTCTTGCTGCTGGAAGTGTGTGTGTGTGGGGAAACAGCCGCGGCCAGAATCCCGCCTCTCCTCCCCTCCCGCAGCTGCTGTCCCCACCTGGATGGAAAACACAGCATCTCAGCAAAGGAAGACTCTGCCTCCCAGGGCTGGGTTCCCGCTTCCCCCGGAGCCTCTCAGATCTCCTCCCACGGAAGCCGGGCTGCTGGAAGCCCAGGGCTTGCCAAGCAGGAGTCTCGGGGCATACATTCCAGATCAGAGGGCTTGGCCAGGGACAAAGCCTGAGCTTCCACAGAAAGTTCATTGACAAAGGACTGCTACCGTTTACTGAGTGGGCGCTCTGTGCCAGGCACCACGTGAATCCGTCACGTGTTAAACACTCGCTGAGAAGCATGTGGTAACGTTATCCCCACTTTGCAAAAGAGGAAACTGAGGCACAAGGAGGTAAATGGCTTACTGACCAGGGGAGGTCACACAGGGGGTCAAGGTTAGACCTGGAATTTGGACCCAGGTTAACCACTGTGCTAGTCCATCCTATCACCAGGTTAGTCAAGGCAAATCACAAGACATGGAGGACAAGGCAGGCAATCCATCTACCCTGTTCCAGGATGTTCAAGATAGAACCTTCTCAGGCCACAGAGACATTCCCCACACCTTAACTTGACCCCCAGAGTCAGACATGTTCAGATGAGATGGGCATCGCAGCTGATTGGACGAGAGAGCACCTGACATAAGGCAGCCAATTAGAGTGCCTTCCCTGGGAATTTGGACCCTGAACTACAAGATTCTAAACTCTCCAGCCTCTTGGTCACAGGAGATGGAGAGGGAAATTAGGAGGCAGCATTATCTGTCATATTTTCTCATTCCCTCAACAAATATTCTAGTGTGCACGCCTATTGTGTACCAGGCTCTGGAGACTCCGTAGTGAACAAAACAGGCAAGCATCTCTATTCTTGGGAACCTTATCTAACTGGGAGACATAAACAATCATCAAAGTAAATATCTATATATACCCTGTTTCCCCTAAAATAAGACAGTGTCTTATATTAATTTTTGCTCCCAAAGATGCACGAGATCTTATTTTCAGGGGACGTCTTATTTTTCCATGCGCTAGGTCTTGTTTTCGGAGGATGTCTTATTTTTGGGGAAACACAAGTACATATAAAAGGCTAATATGCAAATTGTCCCTGTTGGAGTTGGACTTGGAGACCATAGTTTGATTGCTCACTATGACGTACGCTGACCACCAGGGGGCGGCATGGAACAAGGGAAGGCAGTGGCGGGCAGCTGGCAGCTGGGAAAGGAAGGGCACTGCCAGCAGCAGGAAAGCCCCAATTGGCCCTGATTGCCAGCCAGGCCTAGGGACCCTACCTGTGCACACATTTCATGCACCAGGCCTCTAGTGTAAATATCAAATGTTAGCTGGTGGTACGTGCTATTCAGGAGAAAGGCTGAGAGGAATTCTTGCTTCCAAGGGTTCATCCTTAACACACATATCCCTCTTCCCACAAGGCACAGGCCCACAGTCTCCTTCCTCCCCATCAGAAAAACCCCATTCCCCTCTGGAAAAGCCCTTTTCCCAGGAAGCTGCCTCTCCCCTCTACCTCCCCCAGCTCTCCAACCTCATGTGACAAAGATTCCAGTTCTGCCTGGGTGGGTGGCCTGGTGGGTCATAGACAGCAAGGCCCAGAGGCGGCCCCCCTCCACCCCAGCACTCCAGGCCCCGCCTCCAGGACCGTGGGATGGATGGGAAGTGTCAGGCCTCACCCAATCCGCGCCTGCTCCATCTCTTCCATTTTCTCCGCCCGGGCGATCACCCTGTTGATAATTTCCTTCTCCTCGTCTGTCAGCTCCTCCTGCTTCCTCTGCCTGTCGGACTGACCCCCGGGATGGACGGACCAGCCCGCCTGGAGCCTGAAAGGTAAGTTGGGAAGGCGTGAGGCTGGACCGGAAACGCAGCAGGCAATGTGGAGCTGTGGTTAGACCCCATGCTCTGGAGTCGGGTAACCCCCTGGGTCACACCTTTGCCGGGGAAACTCCCTGGCTGGGAGGTTCTGGGCTAAAGAATCGTATCTCTCAGAGCCTCAGTTTGCCCATCAGTACAATGGGTTTATTCTCATGATGTGCTTAGCACACATTTGCAGGAAGCTCTCGGCATCTTGGAGGACAGTGGTGTTCTCAGGAGAAGATGCCAGAGGGTGGAGCTAATTCTGGGAGGGCAGCCAGAAGCCCTGGGTGCCAAGTAGACCTCAGCCCCTGCCTGGCACAAAGATGCTTCTGGGTTTGAGCTACAGATTTAAAAAATAACACATGTAAAGCAGTTGCCAACGAGGCTTATGAAAGTCCCCTGCTTTCCTAGAAACGCCCAGATGTACAGCCTCAGAAGCTCCTGTAGCATTTTGAGTTTCATCCTGTGTTCTTCTTGGCTTTTTTAAAAATAAGCAGACACGCCCAGAAAGAAACTCTCTACAGACTGATTCATATGCCTTTCAGCATAACGACTATTGCTTGTCTCATTTTTTATTCTTATAAGTGTATTTCCAGTAGGACATGATCTCACTCGTCTAGGGGAAATGGTGAACAACATAGACGGATGAACAAGAACAGACCCAGAGATAAGGAGCCATGGGTCAGACTGCTGGACCTCAAAGGAGGGTGGGGATAAAAGGGAGAGATCAACCAAAAGACTTAGGTGCACACATGAGCCTAACCAGTGGTCAAGGACAACAGGGGGGTGGGGGCATAAGTGGGGGGGTGGGGGATTGGAATGGGGTTTGAGGACAAATATGTGATACCTTAATTAATAAAGAAATTTTTTTAAAAAAGCAAACATGGACACTGACCTCTTGGGTACCACACTACCTCACTCAATCCTCACATCCTCCCTACCAGACAGGGCCTGTCATACATCTCCTGGTGAGGAGACTCAGATATGGAGAAATTAGACCATTTCCCCTACATTGCACGGCTAGGGAGTGGCCGAGGTGAGATTCGAACCTGGACCGCCTGTGCACTTAACTTGCACAGCACAAAGAGGCCTGAGTGCCTGCCCATGTCGCTCCGGGGATGGCGCAGAGGATCAGAGAGTGCTGGGGAGAGCGGAGTCTACTGCACATTATGACCATCTCCACGGACGGCACAGTCCACGCCCCAGGGCACGGAGGCGCATCGCCCAAGTGGAATGCAGGGTTCAGCACCGCTAGGAATGCTGGTCCTTGTGTGTGTGGGGCGGGGGGGAGAGGGGGGGGGGAAGTATCTGGAATCCTCCAGAGCCTGCTCCCCATTAGCTGCCAGCCTCTATTACTTCCACTGCTCTACTCTCGCAGGCAGCCATGAAATTGCCTTTTGACACTCAACGTTAAAAATTAAAAGCTATCTCTCTTTCCCCCCGCCACCCCCCTCCTCTGCCATCCTCCTATCTCAGCAGGTTTGCACTAAAGAAGAGAGAAGGAAGAGTTTGAAAGTGAAGGGAAGCAGGTGTTCAGGGCCACGTCTTGTTGGGGGAAAGGGGAGGAAGATAAAATTCTGGTGGAAACACACCTTGCCCTGGAGCCAGGGCCTATGGGGATGGACAAATCAATGCTAAACAGGCTCACCCCCTCTGCTCAATACCTTCTGGTGGCTTCTCATTGGCTTTGGGGGGAAAAAAAACCCACATTGTGATAATGCTGAAGGCTACTGAATTGTACACTGTGAAATGGTTGACTTTATGCTCTGTGAAGTTTACCTTGGTAGAAATAAATGCCAGTCTTCTTGTCCATCTGCAAAGTCCTACCTGATCGGTCCTCATCACCCCCCTTACTGCACCCCGGCATCACTGGCCTCCCTCCTCAATCAAACCCTGAAACCTCGTTTCTGCCTCAGGGCCTTTGCACTCACTGTCCCCTTTCCAGGAACACTATCCCCCCCAGATCTCCCCGTGGATGGCTCCTTCTCATCATCCAAATCTGGTTCAAAAGCCAACTCAGAAAGGCCTTCCTTGATCCCTATTGTCCAGGTTCATTTTCTTCATGGCACCCGGTGCTAATGGAAAGTATCTTTTTAAAGAATTATGTTGTAAAGAAAAAGGAGGAGGAAGCGGAGGAGGAGGAGGAGGAGGAGGAGGAGGAGGAGGAGGAGGAGGAGGAGGAGAATCTCTGTCAATCTGCAAAAGCCTGTGTGTCTGATCACCCTCTTACACCCCTGCCATGGCATGACAACAAGCCCAGGACAGAAAGTTGGAGGCTGAGGGCCCTGTGGAGCAGAGCTGAATCATTCCAGCCACGGCCACCCTAGACCAGCCAACCCTTCGCCGCATAAGCGAGTCCAGCCAAGACCAGCAGAGCCACCAGCTGAGCCCAGATTCCTGGAAACAACTGTTCTACACCACAGAGTTTTAAGATAGTTTGTTATGTAGCAAAAGCTAGCTGATACAGGACCCACTATGACACCAACAAGCGAATGTGAAGCTTGCTAGGCTCCCTGCTACATTTACTTTGTGGTTTGGCATTGTTTTAAATGACAGTTGCACAAAGTTCACCATGATGCATTTAATGCTTTCAGCTACTCAACGTCCTTATCCAGCTCCACGCTTACCTGTCTTATCTGTTTAGCTTCGGGGTAAAATATTAATCAAAGAAAGAGTTTTACTGCTAGCAGAAAGCCTATAGATTAGGGGTGTCGAACTCAATCAGAGAAGGGGCCAAAATCTAAAATCTAGCATAAATCGCGGGCCGAATGGTTTACTGAACAGTCATAAACTGTCATTGTGATGGAAACGCAGCGGAGTGCAGTGATGACAGCGCGGTGTGGGCCACATTGCAAGGCCTGGCGGGACGGATTTGGCCCGCGGGCCTTGTGTTTGACACATGTGCTATAGATCATTGCGACTGACCTGCTCATTTTCTGGTTAATTTGCATACTCACTCCTGATTGGAGGGCGGGGAGTGGCCGAGAAACGTGTGTGGAGCAAGCATGCTCAGGGGCTCAGGAAACCAGCATCCTGGACATGCTTGATGGCTGCCTGAATGTACCCGCTTAGGGGCATCTAGAGAGGATCAGAAGGGACCCTCCCCCCAAAACCAGCCCCAGGGGCCCCAAATAAAAAAGGAACGAGTCCTGGCTCCAGGGGGGAGCCCCTCCCCAATGTTTCTCCCTAAATACCTGCCAAGGGCAGGCTCACACATCTGTCCTGCCTCCCCCCTTAATTCTTTATTTCATGCACACAATGGCCACGTAATAAACACCCAGCAGATGTCTCTTTTAACAAATTATAACTCCCAAAGGGAGTGCTGCGACGGAGGTGCCTCTGGGGCACCGAGGCTCTGAGGCATCGCACGGGGCTGCTGTGCAGAAAATTAATCCTTTTTCTTTCCTTTATTTTCCTCACACTCCCCCCCCCCTCCCCCCAGGATGCCGGCACAGGCAGGTGTCAGCAGGACGTCGCTTTACAGCTCCGTGAATGAGGTTTTAATGGATCCTGGAGGAAAGGATGGGGAAGAAAGGGCAGCTGCACCACAGAATGTTTTGCACATGCCCTGTGGGTGTAAAGGCCCCTTTCAGATGAAATTTACCCCCACCAGATGAAAGCGGGGTGCAGAGGGAAGCCAGGATCACCCCCTCCCCCCCAAACCCCCTTCAGAATGCTCAGGGAATCTAAGGCTCCTGCTAACCTGTTAAGCCAGACTGAGCCCCACGTGGTTCTTCTGAAATTCCATGTGTTCTCACTTTGGGACTTCGCCCATGCTGTTCCTCTACCTGGAACTCATCTGTCTCTGCTTTCGCTGGACCCCACCTTACTTCACTTCCCCCATCGTGACCCACACGGCTGTGCTAGACAGCCCTCCTGTGCTTGCTCGGCCCTCCGTGACGGCACACTGGAGTATATTTGTTGGTGACCGGCTGTTTACTTGTTTGTAGACCCCACCAGACACATTCTTTGGCTATCCCTGTATTCCCGGTGCTTACGACAGTGAGTGCTTGATACTCAGTAGACATTCGGTGAATAGTTGATAATGAAGGAAGGAAGGGAGGAAGGGAGAAAGGAAGGAGGGGAGGAGGGAGTGAAAGAGTATGGTCACAGACTCTACCTATCAACTCTTCGTATTCAGGAAGCTTCTATGAGCTTCCAGACCCTCTGGGGTCATGAGCTTCTCTCTTGTGACATTCATACTTATCACCTGACATTGTCTCGGCATCTCTCCCTGGCACGTCTGAATAATGCACTCACCATACTCAGAAGCAGATCTAGTCCGGCCAGTGTCTTACCAGCCAACAAAAGAAATTGTAGAACATTCAAACGGCCTTTAGCCATCAACTTGTCCAGAGCTCGCATTTGACAGATGGAGAAACAGAGACAGAACTGGGGAAGTCATTTCCCAGGGTCACCTGATCGATGTTAAGAAAACCTTTAGAGGATTTTGGGCCCAGTGATGTGGTCGTTTGGGTCCAAAAGAGCTGGACAAATTTTGCAAGTGATAGATATACAGGTTGTATATATACAAATACACACACAAGGTATCTATACTAATAAAAGAGAAAGATGCAAATTGACTATACCTTCGCAATGCCCACAGCCAATCAGGAGTGAGTATTCAAATTAACCCAACAAAGATGGTGGCTAATTTGCATACACAGGCGTGGAGCGGCCGGCCAGGAGCAGTGCAGGATACTCTGGGCCTCTGGGCTGGAGCAAAAATGGTGCCACCAGCCAGGGGAAGAAGGCCCATTTTTGCACGAATCTTCATGCATCAGGCCTCTAGTATATATATATTATGTATGGGTATGTATGTATGTACAATGTATATAAACAAAACACGGGGTAAGGCAACTTCCCAACACAATGCTTCACAGTTCACGGAGCTCTCCTGTGCCCCTCGTTGGATGCTCTGTCCACCTGGTGAGGGAGGAAGGACAGGGTGACCCCGCTGTCTTGCAGAGGAGACAGCCAGGACTCGGGAGGTGAAGGGCATGTCCACAGCCCCACTGGGTCTCCTGATGCCAGACCCCGCGCTCTGCCTCTGGCTCTGTGCTAACACCCCCATCGTGGGGAGGGCAGACCCCTTCCCTCCCCGTGGCTTCTGAGCGTGCTCCCAACCACCGGAGCCCTGCGTGCGGCTCTGCAGCCGACGCCTCACTGATTGGACCCGGCATCCAATCGGTCACGCCTATTTGGGAGATTAGTCCCATTGCAAAGACAGAGGTTGTGAGCAGAGCCGGGACCTTTGCGCCAAGGGCAGCTCACCGGGAAATCGGGGGCCTCCCTTGAGGGGACTGGGACAGCATGCATGGCGCGTGACTTCCTGCAAGCTCTGTTCTGCATCATCTTTTATTAATGGAAGCGGTTGCTTCGGTTAATATTTTCTTTATTTCGGAACAGAACTCTGGGCAAAGGCTGTGGAAACGGGGCACGGAGTGGTCCCCAAACTTGTGGAAATGCCACTAGAATGAAATTGAGGGCTTCCCTAGGGAACGGCTGTCCCTCCTTTCATCAAGATACTGTTTGAAATTTCATAATTCTTTTTCCCAAAAGGGTGTCTTTAAAAAAAAAACAAAAAACCACTTACATTTCTTTTTTAGATATATAAAGTGTGCTAGTTCCTTTTTTGGCCATCTCTATTGTAGGGGCAAGCCAATTAGATCAGAAAGTATATGCTAACCGTGTCCGGTTGCTCAGTGGTTAGGGTGTCAGCCATGGACTGAAGGGGCTTGGATTCTATTCCAATCAAGGGCATGAACCGAGGTTGCAGGTTCAATCCCTGGCCCCGGCCAGGCATGTGCATGAGGCAACCAATCGATGTGTCCCTTTCACATCAATGTTTCTCTCTCTGTCTCTCCCGTCCCTTCCACTCTCTCTAAAAATCAATGGAAAAATACCCTCAAGTGAGGATTAACAAACAAACAAAAAGAGATATAATTCAGTTGGTCGAACAATAAAATAGTAGCATAAGATACTCACTGTTCTTTGTCACTGGAGGAAGGCAGAGAAAGGAGAGAAAGAAAGCACGAAGTCAGGAAGGAAATCTCATCATGAGAGCAGCACTGTATGGATGCACCACCTCATGGTTTGACTGACAAGGACCTGTTTCCATTTGTCTCCCCCAAAATCATCGTGATCTGATTCCAGCTCATCCAGAACCAGGTTCCTGCAGGGTCGGCTTGTGAAAGCCACAGCTGGGGTTAAAATGACCCATCGGTGCAGCTTATGGACGAACCGAGCTGATCACTCAGCGTTTACATAATGGGCGTGGGGTTCTAAAGAGGAATCACTTCATGACGTGGCCAACGCCATTCTCGGCTTTTGTTGTCTCCATTGCTGTGAGGAGGGGCATGAGCCCTGAGCAGTGATTGGCTCCTCTGAACGTAGACCTTTCAATGCCCATCTATGAGATGTGCAACCCTACACAGACACCACCCCTGTGTCCTCTCTGTGTGACTTGGTTTCCCCCTCTGACTGCTGGCATGCTCTCGCTGGCCGACTTCAAAGCTATAGGGCAGCATGACCTTCCCAGCAATTCTCCCCAAGTTTTCTCAACATAAAGAGCTGAACGAGCCCAGCCGGTGTGGCTCAGTGGTTGAGCACTGACCTATGAACCAGGAGGTCACAGTTTGATTCCTGGTAGGGGCACATGCCTGGGTTGTGGGCTGGATCCCCAGGGTGGGGCATGCAGGAGGCAACCAACTGATGATTCTCTCTCATCATTGATGTTTCTATCTCTCCCTCTTTTTTCCTCTCCGAAATCAATTTAAAAAAAAAAAAAAAATATATATATATATATATATATATATATATATATACACACATTTTTTTTTAATAGTTAAACCACTGCCCGACCCTCACCAGACACAGGTTCCTTTTCCTCTTTCAAATGCCATCACATGTTTCACACACCACCTTAGGCTCAAGGAGGCTGAGAGAGGAAGGCGTTTGAGAATCACAAAGGCAGCCAGTGGATCTGGCTAGCCGGCAGTCAGTGACGACTGGACGTCTTCATTTCCCGGAGAAAGACATCACCAGCATCCGCATCGCCGCCGCAGCCGGCGAGAGAGCATGCGTGGCGGCTGCCACCCGCCCATCAGCATGTGTGGGAAAATAACGTTAATGTCCCAAGGAAACGCAGGCGCGAGGCGGCAGGCCATATGCACGCAGAACGCCGAGCTGTTATCCTTCTAATCTCATCGTAAAGCAAATGGCTGGGCCTGGTGCCCACGGAAGTAAACTCTCGGATGCGTGGGATTTTAATTAACTGACGTTTCGGCAATAAAATAAATGTCACCCCATCCAGCCTTCAGGCAACGGTTTATCTTCCAGAGACACACTGGTTGGTGGATGGAATATTTTCTGCAAAATAAGTCTGGGGCCCAAGGGAACATCATGGGAAGGGTTTGAAAGAGTAGGTGTTTTCTTTCTTTCTTTTTTTTTTTTTTCTTCCTGGTTCAATTTTTTAAATTTAATTTAATTATTTTCCAGGTGTTTCCTTTCAGAAAAGAAATTGGTAGAAAATTGTCTTCAAAACTGTAAGACTCCAGTTTTAGGCAGAAGTAAAGGGGTAGGGGCTTTAGCTCCACAGGAGGTGGATGGACTAGCTCAGTGGTCGGCAAACCGCGGCTCTCGAGCCACATGCGGCTCTTTGGCCCCATTGAGTGTGGCTCTTCCACAAAATACCACGGTCTGGGTGAGTCTACTTTGAAGAAGTGGCATTAGAAGAAGTTTCAGTTTTAAAAAAATGTGGCTCTCCAAAGAAATTTCAATCGTTGTACTGCTGATATTTGGCTGTGTGGACTAATGAGTTTGCCGACCGCTGGACTAGCTATTCAGAAAAGACCCTTCTCCGATACATATTCAGGTCCTAGATAAGTAAGAGCAACGTTCTTTCAAGCAGCTAGTTCCGGGATTAAAAAGTGAGGGGCCTGGACAGTGTGGCTCAGTGGTTGAGCATTGACCTATAAACCAGGAGGTCACGGTTCGATTCCAGTCAGGGCACATGCCCAGGTTGCGGGCTTGATACCCAGTGTGGGGTGTGCAGGAGGCAGCCAATCAATGATTCTCTCTCATCGTTGATGTTTCTATCTCCCTCTTTCCCTCTCCCTGCCTCTCTGAAATCAATAAAAATAAAATAATAATAATAAAGGGAATTCTCCAACAATTCTTCCCCCTTTCAAAACAGACTTCGTCCAAATAAAAGTAACTTGCCCTCTTCAAAAAACTCTGTTATGAAAAAAAAAAAAAAGGCAAGGCTAAACTGAGAAAATACTTGCAAAACGTAAATCCAACGAAGGGCCCTCACCTCTAACCTATGGAGGGAGAACCCCTGCAGAACTTACTAACAAGAAGCCACCGGACCTGACTTAACAATGGACAACGCATCTGAACAGACGCTTCAGCAAGGGGGCAGTGCGGTGGCAGTTTCGTAAGAAGGCCTGCGACACCGGTTTGTAGGGGAATGCAAGTCAACCCACGCAGACTCCCCGTCCCCGCACCAGAACGGTCCCAGTGAAAAGGGCGGCTGGGATCAGGTGCTGGGGAGGAGGGGGAGGAGCGGGAACTCCCATACATTTCTGGTGGAAGTTTATGACGCAGCTCAGTTGATGAGAGCGCTGCCCCAATACCCAAAGGTTGCAGGTTGTATACCCCCGTCAGGGCGCATACAAGAATCAACCAATGAATGCATAAGTGGAAACATCAGTGAAACAACAAATTGATGTCTCTCTCTCTCCTTCCCTCCCTCTCTCTAAAAATCAATTTTTAAAAAACGAAAACAATTATTATTTATATATTTATATATATTTATTTTATTTTTTAAAATATATTTTATTGATTTTTTACAGAGAGGAAGAGAGAGGGATAGAGAGTTAGAAACATCGATGAGAGAGAATCATTGATCAGCTGCCTCTTGCACATCCCCTTGACTGGAATCGAACCCGGGACCCTTCAGTCCGCAGGCCGACGCTCTATCCACTGAGCCACACTGGTTTCGGCTATTTTATTTTTCTAAAGCAGTAAAATCAATGGAGAAGTCTCCATGACAAAACCCCCACCGGGTTCCTTTGCCCCCATCCGGGGGGCACACTCAGTTCTTTGCTTGCTCTTCCTGTCCTCCTTGGAGAGCACCAATCTCAGGACCTCACCGACCCCAAACAAGCTACCAAGCCACCCCCAAGAAGACCCCGCGACTTACTTGGACTGAAGGGGCCGGTCGCTGGGACACACCCAGCGGCTGGAGCTGCTGCTGAACACGGTGTCGGTCATGGCGGAGGCCCGGCTCCTGGAACACAGTAACCACAGAGGAGTCACCCGGTGCTCCTGCCCTGGCCCCCTCCTCCAGGCCCTGCTCTGTGCCCGCACACCGGGGACACGGAGAGGGCGGACCTCATGCCGCCTGCCCCCTTTCCGGATGGGGAACCCCCAGCCCCGAGAGGGAACGTTCCTGCTGGAGGTCCCAGCTCCCACTGGCAGGAATGGATCGGAGCCGAAGACCCCGCCCTTAACCCCACCTTCTTCTCATTTGCCGAGTGGAGGTCCCATGCTGGCAGGGGTAGGGGCAACGTTCACAGGGGTCCCCCATCTCCCTGAAGGTCTGGGTACAGCACAGCCCTGTCCCCGGAGAAGCTGAGGAGGGGGGGAGTTGGGAGGGGCCGCAGAAGGACCCTGTGCTCCATGGGCCCACAGGTGGCTTAACGCTCTGCTCTCATTGCCTTGAAATTCTTAATGATTTGTGGGCACAGGGCCTTGCATCGTCACTTTGCAGCCAGTCCTGAGTAGAGTACATGGTAGACGTTCAATTAGCCCTCAGTACGTCGCAGAGCTCAGTGAGGGCAGTGGGCACTCATCGTCTCCGGTAAGTGGCTCCTGCTCTGCCCACCCTCCCTCCGCTTGGCGCGAACCTTGACGCCACCCTGCGTCTTACTGGGAGGCCCCGTCCCACACCCCGAAAAGCCAGGTTCAGAGCCCCCCTCTTTTCCCGTCTCCACTGCGCTCTGCCTGCTTCTCCTACGGCTCCGTCAGGGCTGTTTGCTGAGGACTGTGCCTCCAGCCCCAGATGGGCAGGTTTTAGTTGAACTGAAAACAACTCATATATATATATTATTGAGTTTTTACAGAGAGGAAGAGAGAGGGATAGAGAATTAGAAACATGGATGAGAGAGAATCATCGATCAGCTGCCTCTTGCACGCCCTCCACTGGGGATGTGCCCCCAACCAAGGTACATGCCCCTGACTGGAATCGAACCTGGGACCTTTCAGTCCGCAGGCCAACGCTCTATCCACTGAGGCAAACCGGTTTTGGCTGAAAACAACTCTTGAAACACAATGAACTTCCCAGTCACAGCAGGTGTGGCGCTCCACTCAGCTTGAGATGTTGCAGGGAACCTGTGTGAGCTCAGCTGTCTGCAGGGAGTTCAATGCCACAGTCAGCCTCACCACACACACACACACTCCAATTCTCCCGTTACCCCCCACCCCACCCCCACAGTCTTGGAATGAAACCAGATGCTTCTCAGCAGAACACACAGCCACCAGCTGGACGGTGCGCACGCACTCCCGTCTCTCTGTCTCTGTCCCCATCCCTCCCTCCCTCTGGAGCCCAGCCCATCTCTGCTCAGTTAGGGATCTGGGAAACCTCACTCAGACTATCTGACAGAGTGGGGGAGGGGGGCTCGGCTTACACAGAGGGCCTCAAAGGAAGGGGGGGGGGCGGTGGATTAGGGGCCCACAACAGCACCCAGGCTGAACATGGGTTTTGCTCGGCCCGTGCAGTGTTTTTGAAAAGTGAGATTCAGCCAATGCTTTAAAAGCACAGGATTTAACGGAAAAACACAGATTGCCAGCTTCTCTTGAGAAAAAAAAAATATATATATGTATAACTCTAGTCGGTGGCTCAGTGGTTAGAGCACCGGCTCACGAACTGAAGGGTTAAGGGTGCGATTCCGGTCAAGGGCACGTGCCTGGGTGACAGGCTCGATCCCTGGCCCCATATGGGGCAAGTGCAGAAGGCAACCCATCGATGTGTCTCTCTCACATAGATGTTTCTCTCTATATCTCTCTCCTCCTCCCTTCCACTCTCTCTAAAAATCAATGGAAAAAATATCCTTGGGTAAGGATTGACCAAAAGACAATTTTTTTTTTTTTTTAAATAGAACATCTACTACTGGATGCCAGACACTATTCTAGGCACTGGGGATCTGGCCTTCAAACAAACACAAAAGAGGAAAACCACTATTCCCATGTTACTCAGCCTTCTGGCAAGGAAGACAGGTCAAATATAAAACATACCAGCCGAGCCAAAATTGGTTTGGCTCAGTGGATAGAGCGTCGGTCTGCGGACTGAAAGGTCCCAAGTTCGATTCCGGTCAAGGGCATGTACCTTGGTTGCGGGCACATCCCCAATAGGGGGTGTGCAAGAGGCAGTTGGTCGATGTTTCTCTCTCATGGATGTTTCTAGCTCTCTATCCCTCTCTCTCCCTCTCTGTGAAATATCAATAAAATATATTTTAAAATAAAATAAAATAAAACATACCAGCAGATGGGCACTTTGAAGATAAATAAAACAGGGGAAAGGGGCTGGTGATGGAGAGGGACGAGTGACTTTAAATTGGTGGTCAGAAGGGATCTCTGAGGCAGATCATTCCAGGCAGGGGGGAAGCAAGTGCCAAGGCCTGGGGTGGCCATGAGCTCCGTCAGTGGAAGCGGCCTCCTCCTGTCGGAGTTGCTAAGCTCAGAGCACAGGAGCTGGGGCGGATCCTGGCGACCTCTGCCACCACGGCCACCACGTGGGAAAGACTGGCCAAAGGATGGAAGGAGAGCTGAGAGACGGAAGAAAACTGATGGCTGATGATGAGTTGGAATGCTGGATCAAACCTCACCTGAATCTACGATGGCCTTTTTGGATACCATGAGCCAGTATATTCCTTCCCCCCCCCCCACCCCCCCACAACCCTGTCAAATTTAAATTGAATGTCTGCATTGCAACCCTCCTGAACTCTGTGTGTGTGTTCGCCAACCAGTTACTTTGGATCTAACTTCCACCGGGATCAGCTGAGGGCTGGAAAAATCATGCCAGCCTGCAGCCCCTCCCTGCAGCCCCTCCCTGCAGCCCCTCTCTGCAGCCACCCAAACCCTCGCGGGAAGACAGGCGACATCTGTGAAGCATCCACACCGAGGCCTGCTGAGACCCTGCACTATTAAAATTCAGCGACAATAAGCAGCACTAATTAAAAGCGAAACTAAATACTTAATAAGACAAATGAGGTGGCAGCATTTAAAGTCGGGAATGAGAGAGCTGGCAGTAATTAAACATAAAGATTAATTTCTTTGCCTTCTCTAAAAAACGTGTGTGCCCGGAACAGGTTTTGTTTTGTTAATGTACAGAATGCCACGGGAACGGACAGACGGGATTGGTTCTGCCTGGGGGTGGGGTGAGGGGAGCCCCCCAGGTGAGGGGGATGGTGGGCCGGCTCTGGACGGATGAGCCGGAGCATGCATGACATGAAGGATGGAGGAAAGGCTGAGGGGAATGGAGTAGGCAAAGGCTCAGCGGCGCCAGTGGACTGGAATGTGTAGGGAACAGAGAAACCCATGGGGATGGAGCCTGGGGTGATGGGAGGGCAGGGAGGAGGGGGAACAGGACTGAAAAGAGGGGGAGGGGTGCCATGATGGACTCATGACTGCGGCTCAACAACCACAGTGCGTAGCACCCCCAGCACTTCCCACGCAAATACCCCCTCCTTCCATTTAAAGACCCAGAAGCCACCCTGACCGGTATGACCCAGTGGTTAGAGCATCGGCCTGCGGAATGAGGGGTCCCAGGTTCGATTCCGGTCGGGGGGCGTGTGCCTTGGTTGCGGACACGTCCCCAGTGGGAGGTGTGTAGGAGGCAGCTGATCAATGTTTCTCTTTATCCCTCACGTTTCAAGCTCTCTATCCCTCTCTGTGAAAAATCAATAAAAAATATATATTTTTAAAAAATAATGAAATAAAGTCCCAGAAGCCAAGACCACATGCTTTCAGCAGCCCGTTCAGCAGGGGGAGCTTAGGGTCCGGGTTTGGGGGGGGGGGTCAAGCCATTCAGCCTGACAAATACATTCACCTCCCTGGCCTCACCCGCGGAGTGGGGACAGAAGAGGAGAATTCCTGTGCGGATGGGGTAGGATCATGTCCAGGAAGTCCTGGGTCCAGGGCCTGGCACGGAATGCCCCTTGTCAAGTGGGCGCTATCACTGATCTGCGTTATGATTAATCATCCCTTCCTCCCCTGGACGATGGGTTCCTCTGAGCCCTGAGTCTATAAACTCCAATGCCAAACCAGCCGCCGCAGAGGCAGACACTGTTTGCAGCGCAGAGCCCAGGCCCTGCACGGCCCAGCCAATTACCTGATCCCCCGATAAAGCAGCAACTGCCTTTGTTGTGGTGCGCACCCAGCTTATCTCGGCCCCAGCCACGTCCCAGCGAGCAGGGAGCAGAGGGACCGCTCTGGACCGGCTCCTGCATGCGTGCGTGCGTGCGTGCACAGACACACGGCCCTGAGCGGGGAAATGTGATTAGACGGGTCTGCGTATCAGCACGTGTCCTGGCGCATAACGGCCCCCGGCGGCCACTGAGGCCCGGGCTGCAACGAAACTGACTGGGATTAAAATTCAGCTGCAGCCCTAATTCTCATCCTGTCATGGAGACCCCGAGGGTCATCCTGATCCTTCCCTTAAGGACAAAATACAGACAGCCCCCGGCTTAACATCCTTTGACTTACAATTCTTCTCATTTTATGATGGCTCCAAGGTGATACAATATCAAATTATGTGCAACCAACACTTTATTATAAAACGGGCTTTGTTTAGATGATTCTGCCCATTGGTAGGCTAGCAGAAGTGTCCTGAGCACGTTCAAGATGGGCTGGGCTATGCGATGATGTCTGGTTAGGTGTGCCAAATGCACTTTCTTTTTCTTTTCTTTTTTTAAGTATCTTTTATTGATTTTTTTACAGAGAGGAAGGGAGAGAGACAGAGAGTTAGAAATATCAATGAGAGAGAAACATCTATCAGCTGCCTCCTGCACCCCCCCCACCAGGAATGTGCCCGCAACCAATGTACATGCCCTTGACCGGAATCAAACCTGGGACCTTTCAGTCTGCAGGTCAATGCTCTATCCACTGAACCAAACTGGTTTTGGCCCAAATGCATTTTCAATGTACAGTATTTCCAACTAAAGCTGTGTTTCTTGGGGGGAAGTAACCCCCATTATTACGTCAAGGAGCGTCTGTATTCAGAGCAGGGGG